ATGTCGACCAACAGGGCAAGTGATCAGAAGCTGTATAAGAAGGCCCGAAGTTCAGCTCGCCGTATCGTTCGTCACGCAAAGCAGGACTGGCTGAGAAAGCAGGCTCGGGACTGTGAACGCTTTAGTCTAACATCTAAGGGAGGCTGGGAGTGCATCAAGAGGATCCAGACTGCACTTGATGGATTGCAGCCCCGCAAGACAGCTGCTATCAAGAATGCGCAGGGTGTTGTGTGCGAGACACCAGAGGCAACAGGTACGCGATGGCGGGAGCATTTTGACAGTGTCCTAAACGTGATCAGTGATTTTGTCCCAGATGCCATTGATTCCATTGGGCAGCTACCGATTCGGCTTGACCTTGAGAACGCCCCAGCCTGCAGCGAGATACACCGTGCTATGCGAGCTCTTCAAAATGGCAAAGCATGTGGCCGATCAGAGATAACAGCGGAGATGCTCAAGTGCGGCTCTGAACTGGTGCCTAGGTTGGAGATGTTGTTGGCTGAAGTCTGGCGGACGGAAAGGGTTCCTCAGGATTGGGCAGACGCCATCTTAACCCCAATTCCCAAGAAAGGTGATCTTAGTGACTATGGTAACTGGCGAGGCATTGCGCTTCTAGACGTGGTCGGCAAGCTGGTGGCAAGAATAATAGCGGATCGCCTGCAGCTGGTTGGAGAGGAATACCTGCCTGACTCCCAGTGTGGTTTTCGCCGTGGTAGGGGATGCTCAGACATGGTGTTCTCAGTACGCCAGGTTGCCGAGAAATTGCATGAGTATTCATCAAAGGGCTTTGCGATGTTCATCGACTTGCGCAAAGCATACGATTCAGTACCTAGAGCAGCCATGTGGAGGGTTCTCTCCAGGCTCGGCGTGCCGGATAAGCTGATCTCCATCATTCGGTCGTTCCATGAAGGCATGTCTGCATCCATTCGTCTCGGCGCAGATCTGCTCGACCGTTTCCCGGTGGGAAATGGCCTACGTCAGGGATGCACTATGGCCCCGATCCTGTTCAACTTATTCATGGGAGCGGTTGTGGAAAAGTGGCATGCTACCATCGCCAATGACGAGGATATCGGTTTTTTTTTTTTTTTACTAAGGCCACAGCTTCCAATCATGACATGCAAAGCAGCGGTGCAGCATCGCAGGCATGAATCGAGGACGTGGTGACGGGGTCTGATGTGCTCCACCGACCTAGGGTCTCGGCTTCACTGCACAGCAAACGCGTCGAAAGAAAACGGGGGCTAATAATTATCGGGAGATGGGGGGGGGAAGAAGAAGAGAAGAAAGAGAGAGAGAGAGAGAGAGAGAGAGAGAGAGAGAGAGAGAGAGAGAGAGAGAGAGAGAGAGAGAGAGAGAGAGAGAGAGAGAGAAAGAGAGATAGAGAGAGAGAGAGAGAGAGAGAGAGAAAGAGAGAGAGAGAGAGAGAGAGAGAGAGAGAGAGAGAGAGAGAGATAGAGAGAGAGAGAGAGAGAGAGAGAGAGAGCTGGGAGATAGAAGAGCACAGTGCTCTTGGTGATGGGGACTGCGAAGGATAGCAGGTTCTTGGATATGTGCATGAGAATCAGAATATTGGTGATGATGGCAGCAGGGTTATAAGGTAAGCAGCTGAACACTAATAAGAACAGGGAAAGCGTTGGCGAGCAGGTTCAAAGTGCATCAGTAGCAGAGAGCCAGTCCTGAGCAAGAAGGTGACGGTACACCTTTTTCTTAAAGCTTTGCATGTGAGGCTGGGCGGGTGGGTGGTGGAACAGGTCTGGTGGCAGGGCATTCCATGTTGCAACGGTGCAAGCAGGGAATCCTTGGAGACAGCTATTCCGGGTGTTGGCAGGCAGGCCAGTTGTCATCTGGTATGGATGGGAATCCTGCAGCTGGAGAGACTGACGGGTAGGTCTTGTCTCGGGGGCACGGTGAGTGGCTGGTTTAGGCAGCATCTGCTTCAGAGGGCTGGATGCATCTAGATAGCAGAGCTTGTAGGTATAGGCAAATGCAGCTACCAGGCGACGGAGTGCCAGGCTAGGGAGCCAAGTACCTGCTCCGATGATGTGGAGGGCCCTTCGCTGGATCTGGTCCAGCTTCTTAAGATGGGACGAGGGTGAGCCCATCCACACTAAGGGGCAATACTCGAGTGTGGGTCGCACAAAGCCGTTGTAGACGCGTTGGCGGTTCTCGGCGTCCAGAATGGGAGACGCTCGCTTCAGGAAGCCAATCCGCTGGTTAGCACGGGAAGCTAGGGAACGGAGGTGGAAGGAGTAGCTCAGGGTGTCGTCAAAGGTGACTCCCAGGAGTTTCAGCCGACTCTCTATCCAGGTGTCGCAGTTTCGCAGAGACTGCTTGTTCAATACGCGTCTCAGAGAGTGTCGCAGAGTGACTATCACGGAATGTCAGTTTGCGGACGATTCGTCACTGTTCGCCAGAACCTACGGCGGTGCTGAAAGGGCCTTGGCCACGTTTCGACAGGTTGCAGCATCTTTTGGCCTGTCAGTCAATCTGGGCAAAACTAAGTTCATGCCTATGGGCGTTGGTGTGGTGGCGTCGAATATGTTGCCTTTGGGTGGAACCGTCGAATGCGTGGACAGCTTTCGCTATCTTGGCTGCCAGATCACTCCTGATGCTAGGAGTAGCTTTGATGTCTCTCGCAGGATCGCCGCGGCTTCGGGTGCATTTGGCGCATTGAAGAAAGCTGTGTTTGCGAACTCGGAGTTTCCTATCGGTCTCAAGCGTGTTGTGTACGGAGTCACTGTGTTGGCGGTACTCCTCTATGGTGCTGAGAACTGGACACCGAGGCAACGGGATCTCCAGCGTCTGGAGTCGTTTCACCTGCGATCTATACGCATGGTCCTGGGCATCAGTCGGGCGCGCCAGATGGACGAGCACGTGACAACCCTTCAGGTACGGCAGTGGTGGGGTGACATGGAGCAGGTCTCTGACAAGGTCCGGCGCCGTCGTCTCCAATGGCTGGGCCACCTGGCTCGCATGGATGACCGTATTCCCCACCAATTGCTCTTTGGTGCCTTGCCGTCTAAACGACCTCCACATGGCCCCCGGAAGAGGTGGAAAGACCCAATCAAACATGACCTGACGGCGGTGTCCATTGGCATGAATGAGTGGCTTGAAACAGCAGATGATAGGTCTGAGTGGAGAACCAGGTGTCAGGATGGAGTCTACAGTGTGGTATGCTCTCGTGTACAACCTGCCGTGAAACCACTCCTGTGTATGGTCTGCACATGCCGTTTCAGCCGTCCTCAAGACATCGCTAGACATAGTTGCACCTCCCGTCGCTCCGCAAAAGCAAAAAACAAACAGTGAAACAGCCGTTCACGTCCCGCCGGACTCGCAGGGCCTCATGCCGCGTCTCGAAGACAGCACTCCTTCAAGTCACCCCCCCCCCCCCCGTTTTGGGGACACATAGCCAATCGTTGCAGTGGACGAAGGAAGGAAGGTGTTGTGTGCCAGCTAGTTCGGTTGGTGGGTACACTTATGCCTGATTGTGTTGGGTCTGTTGCCAACGGTCTCAGCTACTTGAAGGTGTAATGTTGTACCTGCCACCTTTGTTGGTTCCAGGGTTCATATACTTTCTATTTGAAGTATACATACCTGTTAACCATGGACTGCTTCTGGCTAGATTAACTCTTGTGTAATCAATGGTGCTAGTGAAGCTAATATCAGATCCACTCTGATTTAGTCACCCACACTAGTAGCACGTATTACCTTCACTGGGGGCAGGGGTAACTGCAGTTCGATCCCAGGACGGATACCCTGATGCCGTCAATCCTTTTTCTGCACCTTGTCCTCACCCACTTACTGAGGTGTGGTGAGCCCATAAGTGGGATCATTTTCAAGTCCACCCAGAGTTTTGGGGATTTCAGGGGGTGTCGGCCGTTGGGCGGTTCAATAGCCAATTGAGTCATCTTTCCAAGATTCCTTTTCAGTCTCTCTCCCCTCTCCCGGGGAGACCCACGTGACCAGTTTTGGCAGTGTGCCCCAAGAGTGTGTGTGTGTGTGTGTGTGTGTGTGTGTGTGTGTGTGTCCGAGGGACACTCACGAAGCATGCGGTGATAAATGGGATTGATGTCTGTATTTCGTGGCAAAAATCTGGGTGCGGCTTATGCTCCTGTGTGGCGCAGACTCAGGAAATAACGGTAATACTCGCACAACAGCTAACTAACAAGCGAAACATAAGTACTTGTAATAAGAAATAATATTCGCGGGATCCGCGTTAGCATCACTTGAATGTTCAGAAACACACAAGCTATAGCCTTCGCTTCCGCAGGCCACCACTATGCCTTTTCACCTTAGTGGCGAATGCAGACCTCACAAGTGAGTCAGGGGAGAGGAGGTGAGTATCTCAACCAATCAAGTACGTGTACATGAGGTAATAAGAAAATGTTGCCACCCAATGAATATGATCATGTATCTCAGTTGATATTCGTGCATCCACAGCCTATCCCATCCCCCGATGCCATCCAATGATCACACAGCAAGTATTATTCTCAACCAAGTTCTTTTGCGCCATTACTCAGAGCATCGTGTGAAACACTCATCACACAGCATGACCAAGACTAGCATTCACTAGAATATCTACATGTACGTCCTGATACCATCCAATACTAGTACTGAGAATGAAGGTACCGTCATGTACATGATATAATGTACATGTACATGATATAATGTACATGTACATGATATAATGTACATGTACATGATATAATGTACACGTGCATGATTGTAGACCGAGAAAAGAGTGCAGACTTCGCAGCAATGCATGTTGCATAACCATGATGACAGGAGCAGCGGGATTTGAACTCGTTCCCTCTGATTGGCAGGCAGAGTTGAAAGCCAACACGCTAAGCTGCCTATCGTAGCACGCTAGCTGTCAAAAGTCTGTCTGTATCTCCATGGTAACCTGTCTGCTATAAATACCCGTGGCCACCCCTATAAGTTTGGCTGGAAAGCCAAACAAACAATCGCTGGAAAGCCAAACAAACAATCGGCTGGAAAGCCAAACAAACAATCCTGTCGCCGTAAGGCACCAGGCTCGTGTGGGCTTCAGATTGAGGTGTGGAAAGCATGCATCGCAGTCGTATTGGCTGCCTTGAAGCTGACCAGCAACTGCTTGATACGCCTTGAGATGGGGCTGGAGCCGCTTCTTTTTTTTGTTTTGATTTTTTTTGTTTTCCCCCTTCACTCGACAACAGAAGTTTCTCAATCCGTAACTGTTTTCTCCCTCTTTCCCTCTGGCTATCTCTTTCTGTGTGTGTGTGTGTGTGTGTGTGTGTGTGTGTGTGTGTGTGTGTGTGTGTGTGTGTGTGTGTGTGTGAGTCTGTGTGTGGTGTGTGTGTGTGTGTGCGTCTCTTTCTCTCTCTCTCTCTCTCTCTCTCTCTCTCTCTCTCCTCCCTTTTCTGTCTCTCTGTCTCTCTGTCTCTCTGTCTCTCTGTCTCTCTCTGTCTCTCTCTGTCTCTCTCTCTCTCTCTCTCTGTCTCTCTCTGTCTCTCTCTGTCTCTCTCTCTCTCTCTCTCTCTGTCTCTCTCTCTCTCTCTCTCTCTCTCTCTCTCTCTCTCTCTCTCTCTCTCTTTCTCTCTCTCTCTCTCTCGCTCTCTCTCTCTCTCTCTCTCTCTCTCTCTCTCTCTCTCTCTCTCTCTCTCTCTCTCTCTCTCTCTCTCTCTCTCTCTCTCTCTCTCTCTCTTCTCTCTCTCTCTCTCTCTCTCTCTCTCTCTCTCTCTCTCTCTCTCTCTCTCTCTCTCTCCTCTCTCTCTCTCTCTCTCTCTCTCTCTCTCTCTCTCTCTCTCTCTCTCTCTCTCTCTCTCTCTCTCTCTTTGTCTCTCTCTCTCTCCCCATGCGGTGGTGTTCACAATGGAATCGACTGATTGGTGAACACCATGTCTCAGGTCGGAATAACTAAATGTGTTATGAATGAAACAATAGCTCCACTGACTTTGTGTAAAACTAAGACTTTGAGTGTGAGAGGGATATACCAATAGCGGATTGCTGGAAAGTCCACTTACCAGCGAAAGATTGTATGCGTGTCCGTACTGAACACCGACTAGTACCCACCAATGGCAGCAACGCTACATCCCTAGCCAATCTACCCGACTCTGTTGATATGTGCCTGTGGGGTGTGAGGGGTGAGCGGTGCTTCTCTTTCTGGCTTTTCATAGTTCAGTGGTGAATGAAACAAGACGCGCAAACGTGGAGTCACGACAGAGCTAACTCCATTATACTGGTCTAGATCAGAACAATGCTACATCCCTAGCCAATCTACTCAGGATATTCCACGTCAGTTTGTAGCAGTGTATCGCCAACAGAATCTACCGTATTTCCTCGATTAATGGACCATGCTCGAATAACAGACCATGCTCAAATAGTAGACCCTCCTAGAGGCCTCACGGAATAATAGTAGACCATGCCCGAATAAGAGACCCGGTCTCTTATTTTGGGTTCATCGCTTTGCGCATGCGCACTAAGAAAGCACGTGGTGGATCAAAAAGAACGCGATTTTAGGTTGCCCAACTACAATTTTTGTAGTGGCTAGTGCTTTCTTTCATTAGTTGAGCACGGTCCACTATATTTTCATCGGCACATCGCTGGTAATGGTGGATTTTTTAACACGTCATAATAGAACTTCTATATTATGACGTGTTAAAATCCACCATTTCCAGCGATGTGCCGATGAAAATATAGTGGACCATGCTCAAATAATGGACCATGCCCAAATAAGAGACCAGGGGTCCAACCCTCTTCAAAAAACAAAAGACCGGGTCTATTAATCGAGGAAATACGGTTCTGCTCGTTCATACAAATCCATTCGTGCTGTGACCATTTCTGTGTGTGGCGTGGGCGGAGCGTTCTCATTCGGATCTGGCTGCTATGCTAGTTCCTGCGCCATCTGAATCAGTGTTAAGGAGTGGCTAGAGAGATGACCTCAAAACCCGCCTGGGAGAGAGAGAGAGAGAGAGAGAGAGAGAGAGAGAGAGAGAGAGAGAGTGTTGTGAACCCTCTAAGATTCTCTAAATTGTCAGGATCGTGCGACCACACGGCACGAGGACAACACTTTTCCATTAGACAGTATATTTCACTTCATCGAATAATTAACAATGAACACTAATAACACCAGCTATTTATAGCATGCACGAGCAGCGTACATGCAAAAACATACGCATATAAAACCGGACATAACAGCGTATACAGCAAAACACACACAGCGCATATAGCGTATGCCATGCAGCAACATCAGCGGTACGGCTGAGTCGAAAGACAACATTGCGACGAATACAATGCCATAAGCGCGAAGGCCTTTCCCAATTGAGAACTGGTGGTTTGCAACATTCTCCCCACCAAAGGGCTTCTCACCGCCGTACAACAATGCACGCAAGTCAAAAACGATCCGGGGCTCTGACTACGCGCCCAGAACGCGTCATCTCCTGCTGCCGTGGTGGTGGTAACGGTGCTGACGGTTCATACGCTGGCTGCTGAGGGACGATAGCAGGTTGAGCGGTATCTGCAAGCCCAGGAGCCACGTCCTGTGACGATACTTCTAACGGCACTAACCTTTGGATCGTACTCAACTTAACCTTGGCAACACGACGCTTACCATCTCGACCAGGGAATAACTCGATGATCCGTCCCAAACGCCAGAACTGTTTGCGCTTGGTATCATCGAGAACAAAGACAACATCACCCACAGCTAAAGGGCGCGACATGGTCTGTTGGTGTTTGTTCAGCTGACTTAGGTACTCCACCTCCCAACGATTCTTGACATGCTCCAGTGTCCGACTGAGGTAACGCAATCTCGATGACATCTGCGCGGCGTCCAGGGTGCCTGCTGGCTTCGCTGACGACATCCAGATGTCACCCATCATCATTGCAGGGGTTACTGGTGGCTCATCCAGGCTATCAGACACATAAGTTAGCGGACGACTATTCACCAATGCTTCAACCTCATACAAGAGGGTCTCCAGCTCCTGGACCTTCAGAAACGCTGTTCCCATTACCTTTTTCAAGGCACTCTTCGCTGTACCAACCATTCTCTCATAGAAGCCTCCATGCCATGGTGCAGCTGGAGGATTGAACATCCATGGCACACTCAGTTTGTCAGATGCCGCCTTGAACGTTGTAGCGTTGTCAGACCTGATCCGAGACGGCAAACTACGTCTCGCGACAAACTTCCGAAATGCTATCAAGAATGACTCAGTACTTAAACTATCGACCACCTCCAAGTGAACTGCTCTGGTGGTGGCACACACAAACCATGCTATCCATA